ACGCATTCACGGAGGTGAGAGCATCAGCCGAGTTGTTATCAAATCACCAATGAGTTTTCATTTGTTGGTCAATGGAATGATATGCTCTAGCATGCTAATACTACTAGGGTTAGCTAGAAAACAATTCATGCCAATTCTACTGCCAGATATGACTTCAGCGACAGTTGTCGTGGGTTACCTAAAAATCCAACCTCAGGGAATATAGCAAGAAAGTGGGCCTACGTAATGAGCTGTATGATGCATTCACTGGAGTATTTAGGTGCAATATCTTCTTAACTTCAGAGGGCGGGAAAGAATTACATATCTATGTGGTAACGGCGAGTGGCGCAAACTCTGCTTCATCGAATCATTTTGTCACGGCGCAGGTAGGTCCCACAGCGCATTTGCCAACGTACTGTTGCAACAGAAGACAAACTCTGATTCTTATTGGATGGGTCCGGAGAAAACGATTTCACCAAAAAAGCTGCACAGCTAACAGTTACCTTTTGCCAAACCCCAAAAGGAAGTTATCCTCCACAAAAAATTAGTGGCCCGTAATCGGAAGTTTCCAGCATTTTGTACCAGAGGGCGATCAGGTTCATTCGAGTCAAGTGTATAAAATTCTTGTCATAAATATCTGCGACTCGAAAAAGTCCTCAAATTTTGGCGCATACCCGTTTATTCAGATTACTTCTTCGAGAAATGCTGTCGTATATGCCCTGATAAACTTAGTTTCGTTTGAACTTGAGGCATGCTTTAATACATCCATATTTGCTTACGTCCTGATCCGTGTACGTGATCACGTGTTGTCAGAAGGCTGAACGCTGATGACTTGAAAGGGGAATGGGTTCCACCACCGGTTCGTCAGGAGAGCTAACATCGCTCAGTTGTGGAAGTGTTCGTCTGTTAGAATATGAGATAAGCGCTTTCAGCTTGTTCGTCCATTTGTCGGTGAACATTTCGAAATTCGGTTTGGGAGCGTTGTTAAACGTTTCAACGTTCCCATGAGGTCCGAAACTCCTCAACACTCCGTACCATGTTTTGCCTATTGCAGACTCCTCCGTAAGTCCAGTAGACGCGATGATCTGTCCGGTTATGTGTACTGTCGATTCCTATCAAAATTGCGCATTTTTGATGTGTGTATTCCAGCAGTTTGATATGAATTGTGAATCCCCCGAGCAAACCGATTATGTGGACAGTGCACACAATTACAAAATGAAAATATGGGAAGTACATTCCCAACTAAAACGGCTGAAGAATTCCGCGCGTCCCGGTCCACCAAAAGTAACAATCAACGGGTTAGTTTTACTCGCCGCTATGAGTAAAGCAGAGAATCTCGGAAAGCACCCACCGGCTGCATTTAGGCTTGTGCAACTCTGACGAAATAGAGAACGTAATCTCCTTCGTTTAGACACTGGCTGTACTCAGGTCCTCAAATATTCACCAAACAGTTCCAAGACGGATTTGCCTACCCAGAAGTCTATACTCCTCATTTGAAACGGCTTAGATTCTTGAGTGTGAGAACGTCACATTGGTTCGTGAGCGACACGTAAGAATGCACGGCTCTCCAGGACCGCATTAACAGCCCCTACCTCTTCACATTATCTCTGGCACCATTTTGACAACTCATTCGTTGTCTATATCGCAGTTTGTTCCGTTCTGGGGGAGGCACTCATACCGATGGACGACGATTAAGCATGTGAAGCACACGGATGAGCCACCGCACTTTATGTAGCTGCATATTTTCCGCGATTGACGTACCGACCACACAAACAACTACTCGTCTTCTAATTATCCCGTTACAAATACGTCCATACTTTCTAGGCATCCGTGGTCACAAATTTAAGTGCACTTTATTTCCTCTACTTGCAGAAGTCACTTCTGGCAACAGCACGACAATGCAGGTCTTACTGCAACCTGAAGATAAATTCATCTGAGCAAACCCGATCGACCAGCTTGTCGCCAGAAGCGATTTGCAAGCCGGGTGTTTGGTGAAGCCTCGTGTGTTTGTCTCATTAGCTCATCGACTACGAATTCCAGAGTGAATATTCTTGTCGGATACCACATTGTGCAAATGGTGTTGTCCAAATACCTGACGAAGACTGAATATTTGGTCGGCGGGTCCTCTTCTCGGTCGAAATTCCACTTAATGCCCACCGGTCACGGAGTCGCGTTCCGAGGTAAAATTAGTAAGCAATGACTTGCATGGCTGTATTTCTCACTTCGACCAAGTGAGCAAACCCCGATTTCTTCAACTTTTACAGGTTAAGGTAACAATTGCCACAGAAGAGTTATTTATGTCACTCTGTCGCTGCTTCAGTAGAATACAACAATTAATGGGGCAATCCATACGTGAGAATGGTGTCTATTCGTCGAATTTGCGTGTTATTGCCTTAGAGGAGTCAGCACTCTGAATGAAAACGAGCAAATGTCTGCAGTAGGTCGAACAACACAGAAGGGAGTGGGCTTGTTAAAAGAGCAACACGATGAAAACTACGCGTGTCGGATTTACGTTCTGTTGGTCAGTCGTGATTTGTTTCTGAAGAGAAAGACTGGGAATTTCCAATGCATTCAAATTCTCCAGGTTCTTCCAAGCACTGACTCAAATGAGGTGAAGCGGAAGTAATTACTCTCCATGGGTTTTGGGTAGATTCAGATTCACGTGTGCAACTAAAGAGAATTGGTAAGCAAATGAGTTCATTTGGCTTAAGCTGGTTTCCTATTTACTTAAGGGGCTGGAGATTTAGATGAAAAAGCTTCTAAGAAAACAATTGGAGTTCTAATTGTTTCACGGAATACCTTCAAGTTATCTGGATCCAGTAAACATAACTACGTACCACGTGGTATGGAAATTGGAATCAAAATATGGAAGCAACAGGTCACAATAGTTGTAGAATTTCCCGGAGCTCACTGGACCTTGGAAGTGACTGTGCTACATCCTGGATGCGGCCGTAGGCGTTTCGCGACCACTATTAAAACCGTCACATTTATCGACTGGGACAGGACATCTGCTGAAACAAGACGACTTGGTTTTGGAATTTCAATCTAGTTACAGATCGGGGACAGGTAAACAACACCGAATTCTTCTCCACGAATGCATAAAGCATTTAGTGATTATTTAGGTATGCATCTGAAGGGCAGCCGTTAATTCTCAGTCGCGGGTCGATTTCCGTTCTTCCTGCAAGTCGAATAGGTCCGAGCTTGGCCATGTCAACTCGGGGAGATCGATAACTTACAAGGAATCATATCGAAACGTTGAGTTCCCTGGAGCTTGGACATCTGATCACATTACTGAATTCTCCCTTTCTGCATAATTTTAGCAAATATAAAAAATATACATGATTTTCGAGTAGTCTTTTACACTCTCGTGGTTTGCATCCTGGAGAACATTCGATAACCTGAACGCACTGATCCTAAGAAGTAACCCCAGAAGTTCCTGCTAGAATTTGGGTTGGTTGCTGAGCAACAATGCGGCCCACTTATTTTGCCAAACTGGGT